TCTATAATCCATTGGCTTTTGAAGAGAATGCAATTAAATCTTCTCTCGTATTGAAAATTAAATTTTCAATACGAGAGAAATAACGCATCGTCTGTATTATGAAGAATGTATTTCTGGACAATAAATACAAACAAAAACCTACTTGTAAATCATCTTTTCGAAGAATTCTACAATTTTCAAGATTATTCATATCAATATTTGTTTCATTCGTATCATTATTATTGTTAATTTTTGATGGAAATTTTACGAGTACAAGTGATCCATCAATTTTAACAACTTTTCCAATAGGTGCTACTTTACAATCTTCAATAAAAATAACTTCATCTAATGGCCAATATTCTTCATCTTTAATTTTACTATGTTGTTGTTGTTGTTGTTGTTCATTTGAATCACTATCATTAATTGTCATTAAAAATGGATTTAAACCATTATTTCCGCTTGTATTTGTTGTTGTCGTTGTTGTTGTTGTTGTTGTATTATTATGTTTTTTACGTTTTAATGATGATGCAAAACTTGTATTTGAATCTACACTACATGTTGATGATGCTGGTGATGGTGGTGGTGGCATTTCTAATGAACTTTTATCGTCCTCTTTATTTTTATTTATTATTAATTCTGGAATTTTAATACGAAAACGTGCTGTATTAGATAACATCCATGCTTGTTCCATTAATTGTCCTAATTTTGGTTGTCCATCACGTATATAAAAAGCTAATGCACCTTGATTATAATATGGATTTGATATTAAACAAACAGATGAACCAATTGTAATTATTTGTTGTTGCTGTTGTTGCTGTTGTGTTGAATTATTTGTACGATTTTTACGCGTTTTTTCTTTTAAACGTTCAAGTAATTTCTTACGTGGTTTATTTGGTAATAAACCATACCAATATAAATCATTTGTATCGGTTCGTATAATTGTATACAATGGTGATGTTTGAATATCAATAATATGTAATGGTATTGTTGATGACAGTTCTTGCAATGGATGTTGAAATTTAAAACTAACTTGTGAACCTAATGATTCATCAATCCATGTTGCTATACGATTTGTTTCAGTTAATATTGATGCACGTATTATATTAGCTGATAGATTAATTATTTTTTCATTAAATAATTGTAATAAAATTGTTTTTGGATGTTTTATTTGTGAATTATCTGAATCTTGATATGGATAATCATCTTGCCAATTCCATTGACATAATTGTCCATTAATATTAATAGCAATTAATTCGGAATAAAGACATGCTATATGTGTAAAACGTGGATAGGAATTTTCACTATTTGTATCTGTCCAAAATTGTAATTGATCACCAAATATAATTGGATTTGGTATTGATGTTGAGGAGGAGGATGATGATGATGATGTTATGGATGCTGGTGCTGAAGTTTGCTGTTGATATGTTGGCAAATTTGATTGTGAAGATGATGATGAATTTTGATCTTTACGTATTGATGATGTTTTTGTTGATGTATTATCTTTAACTATAGATAAATCATCAGGTTTTAATTCACGATCAATACGACCAAATAATTCTTCACGTAATGAACCATCAAGCCAACGTGGATCATAACGATTACGTTTACGATCACGTTCAGTTGGATTTGATGTTGTTGTTGTTGATGATGGATTTGAACTTGTAGATGGTGTTACAACTGTTGATGAATTTGTTGTTGATGAAGGATTTATTGAAGTTGAATTAGTGACATTAGATTGATCACTTAAGGAAGAGCCTATGGCAGCAGATGCGGCTGATGCAACGGTTGAAGCAGATGGATTATTTGCTAGAATAAAAAAAATTTTAATTGGTTCTCTTAGCAATGAAATATGCTTTGATTTTTTCATTTATGGATGATTTGTTCTAGAAGATAAATGATTACATATCGTACGACTATCAGTTTCAACATATACTATGCTTTAGTGTTTTTTGAATCGCTTTTGATAGGAACATCAGAGAGACGTGCGGTTTTCGCTATTCCAAAGAAAAGACCCGGAATCATCGAGGCATTTCGGAATTTGTTTGGTTTAGCGATTGATCGATCACATGAGTTCTTGACAAACATTTTTTGAAAACGATATTCTGAAGCTTATTCTTTCTCGATTTACATAAGGTTGATATTCCTTGCTTGTTCCGTTTGAGAGTTATAAGACTTTTCCTGAGATCTCTGGTTTTAACCAATTGATCTGTAATTACCCAGAACAGCAGGTAGACAGGGGTAATTCATCGTGTTGAGTCAAACAGTGACATTTGTATTTAGGTTTCAAATAACTTGCCACTGTTATTTCAATATTTCTAAAATACCATGACCAGCTTTCATCTAACAAAGGAGCCAACATTTCAAATATATTGAGACAACAGTGTTAAGTCATTTCGAGTCTAAAAACAAATTTCATCATTTGACTCAACATGATGAATTATCACTGCCTATCTGCTGTTTCAGATAATCACAGATCAATCGACTGAAATCTAGGATCATAGGAAAAGTTTTATAACTCTCGAATAGAACAAGCTAGGAATGTCGGTCTTGCGTCGGTCGCAGAAGAAGAATATTTTCTATTGATTAGCTTCATTTAAGATCTAAGTCGAAAGAAAAATAGCTTCAGAATCTCATTTTTGAAAATCTTCATCAAGAATCCATCTGATTGGCCAATTGCTAGCTAATTAGTTTTTAACACACTTCAATAACTTTGAAATTTCTCACTTGAATGGTAAAAATCGCAGGTCTCTGTGATATTCCTATCAACAGTTATTCAAAAAAAACAGTGAAGCACATTATATTTCGAAATAGATTATACAAGATATTGATAATTCAATTCAGTGTATTATTTTATTCAATGCAGCGATTTCGAATAGTTCTTTGGCATCCAGACTGGGCTATAAGAAGTTTAACTATTTCCATTCTGCTCGAAAGTATTCAGTTGATTTTATTTTTACTAATTATAGAGAAGTGTTCCAAGTGTTATTTTTTCATAAGAGAATTTTTTTTATGAACAATGTTTTCAATTGTTGAGATTTACTTCAATACGATAGTATAAAATTTTATATTCCAACTTGTATACTCGATCGTCTCTTTCGTTCTGTGATTCGAGATCAGGTTTTCTATGTATGCATCACTTTGACTTTTCTCATTGCTATCCGACAGTAGAATTATGAAAGAAAAAACATTCATGAACTATTTCACATTTCTTTTCGTGAAAGGCTACAATCTGTATTGAAGTGAATGCGGATAACTGAAAAACAAATTAGCCCAATTCTTTCAAGAAAAGTAAAAATAATTGACTATTTTTATCTTAAAGACATCTATGGTCGAGTCTGTATTGTCAGTTGTAACAAACTATATAGTTTTTGAGAAAATCGGTCGATAAATTTCGACTAATTAATACAAAGAAAGACATCAACGTAAACAAATAAGCTAAACTTAAACCAAAAAAGGAGCACAAAATGCTATTAGTAAACTGAAAATCACGATGCATTTAATATCGGTAACAGATCCACTCGTGATGACTGAGATCGAAACTAAAACTGGTCACCTACATCTTTATTCTCGACTCATCGCAATCACTCATCAATCAGGAATATTTCAGATTCTTTTTTTTTTTTTTTACGTACCAACATTTCCAATTCTAGCAGAAACAACTCGACGCTGTATATTACTATAACGTAAAGCAAAATCAGCTTCGTCAAAAAATTCTGATTCAAGTATTATTCCTGGATGTTCATTATGTGGATTAACATCCAGTAAGGAGATGAGATCAGCTAAAAATAAATAATAATAATGAAAATTAATATAAATAGAAATCTATGTCTTTACCTCCGACATAATCATCATCAAGATCTTCATCACCTTCGTCATCACGTGCAAGTAGATTATTCACAGCCATATTTACATCTAAATTCTATTTAGAAAAGAAACAAAAGCAAAAAAAACTAATTAATATGTTTTAATTCTCTTTTGTTTTTATTTCAATTTACCGTTCTTTGTAATTCTCTTAAAATAACATTTCTTGATTTTCCTTGAAGAACAACTTGAACCTAAAACAAAAAAATAAATGAAATTTATAGAAAAAAATTTTTCATCATTTTGTATCTTCATTACTTGTTCAATTAATTCTTCTGGAACACTTGATGCTGGTATTAAGGGTCTTGAACCAAATATAATACCTGTTCGTCCTCGTGCTGTTCGTATTAAATGATGTCGTTGTCGACTTAATGGATAACCAGCTTGTAATTGTGGCAATAAATCCACTTGTCCACTTGAATTTGTTGTATTAGCAACAGCAGCTGCAGCATTATGTGCAGCTATCGATGGATTTGATGATGATAAAACAAGATTTTCAAAACTTGGGCGATCAAAATTACTTGAACGTTGAATCGATTGACGAGATTGAGGACGTATTGTTTGAGGTGTTATATGTTTTGGTTTACTTTTCGTTGTTTCTGTTGGTATTGGTTCAATTTTATCAGCTTGAACACGAAATGATACTCGACAAATACGACCGTCCTAATGAAAACAAACACACAACATTGACTTTTATTTAAAAAAAAAAAACAAATAAATTAAATTTTACTTGAAGTAAAAAAGCAATATGTCGTGGTGATACTACTGCTTGTTGTACAATAAGATTTGTAAATGGGGAAAACACACTTGGACATACACAACCATTTGTTGTTATTTGATCAGATATATCTTGAAGTCTAAATAAATAAAATAATACAAAAAAAAAGAAAATAAAGAACAAATGTTTATTTCTGTTTACTTTAATTCAAAATTTTGTTCTGTTATTGGTGTTTGTTGAATAAATACATGCGTTGAATATTCCATTAAAATTAATCTGAAAAGAAAATACATGTAAATTTTGTTTGTTGTTTTGTTTTAATAGTTTTATATAATATTTATATAGTTTTACATATACAAGCACAAACAAACAAAAAGATAACCGAGTATGTTTGAAGTGGAAATAGGTATACAACATCAAACAAATGTGTTTAAGAATTCTACTAATCTGGAAAAAGTTTTATATTAAGATCAAGTTCAAAATCATGAGATGTAAACATTTCGTCATTATGTTCGGAAAATGATGTAAATGAACCACGTTCACCAGTTGTCATTGTTGAAAAACTTTTTTCTGTTAGCTAAAAAAAAAATCAAAGAAAGACGTTTATATTTAAGTTAAAATAAAATCAATGGTTCTTCTAGGACTTTCCCGGAAAGGAGATTTACAACTTCAGAAGGGCGAATCCAATCTTCAAAGAGGCGCCACCTTCTCGGTATCTGCTAGAGTCGGTCGGATTGGTCTGGAACTAGGTCTGAAAATTTTGTACGAAACGAATTCTAGTTTCCACATTGGATAGAATATTAATTTTAGAATTGATTTTTTTATTTACGACTTGGAATGAGTATCGAAGGACTCACAAAAAGTCACCTATGTAAAGGAAATATATATACAAATATCCGCTACAGTTGCATCTAATTGAATGCCTTTTTTTCTTCTGGTAATAGAGGAAACTTGAAAGTCTATATATTCTCCTAAAATCAATAACTTTCGGATTTAATATATACAAAACGTCTGTTCTTTTTAGTTTCGGAAAACAAAATGCAAGGTTGTTTGAATTGTTTTCTTTGTTATTACTATGTCCTTCTCTTACTTTATCAATAGTTATATGACATTTAAGTAATTGATACATTCCTTGCTGATCAAGAACCTTGATACGATGTTAACTAATAAGAATAGCACGATTCTAGGGTTTCTTTAGCTAGTAAATTTGAGACAAGTCTCGAATTTTTTCCAGATAGTACTGTGCAAATATTTGTAAAGTAAAGAAAGGAGACCCGGACGAATTGAAGTAACTCGACATTTTGTTTTTCGAAAATCAAAACAAAAAGGATTTATTTATGTATTGAATTCGCAAGTTATCGATTTCAATAGAATTTATTAACTTACAAGTGTTCTCTATTAGCAGAAGCAAACAGCGATTTGATTTTGTTTCATTGCAGTAGAGACGTATAGGTAGATGACTTTCGGGATACTCTGTAATGTTTCATTTTTGAGTCGATTAGAGTTTTCTGAGTACAAATCATCAATTTCAGAATTAATAACATATTGCGAACTAGTTTTGAAATTATTCGATATTTTGTATTTGTTGTCTATTAAATTTCATAGGTAGATGCAAGGCCAAATAGAACTGATCCTAGGTATGAATCAGTGTAACTCGAGATTTGAATAAGGTATCTCAAACTTACTGATGGACAGAATTTTAGTCTGAATAAGATTTCAGTCATGAAATTTACTGCTGCATATCTTCGCTCGTTGAAAAGAATTATTTGATTGCTTTCATTTCAGAACTAAAGTAAGATTTATAAAATATTACACTTTTATAATGTAATTTGTCTGATATTGCATAAGAAAAATTCTACTGGGAAATTTCCAAACTTATGTTTGTTTGTTTTTCTTACGGTTTGATCTGTTATATCTGTGGTTGTTTTTGTTATCGTATTTGTCGTTGTCGAAGATTTATTTTTTTCAGCCTAATAGAATATATTAAATATTCAAAGTTTGTTTTTCCTTAATTGACATTTTCTTACTAATAAATGTTGTTCATCAAGTTGTTTTTTCATTGCTGCTGCTTCAGCTGCACGTCGTTCGTGTTGTAGTTCTCGCAATAAATCAGCTTTCGCATTGACTTGTGGTGTCTAAAAATAAATCAATATATACAATACTAATATTGTTTTTAATTCAAATACTTACTTTTGTTACAAGTGTTGGTGCACAACGACGACGTGTAAATGGATCTGACGCTGCATTTCGATGTTCTTGTGCTTCACGCTACAGGAATAAGATTTTATTTAAGTCATCTTGAAAAAAAACAAATTAGACTTACAGCTAAAGCCATTTCAATATTTTTTTGAGTACTCTCTCGATTTCTTCGATTGATTTGACTGAAAGAGGAAAAATATGAACAAACCAAGAAAACATCATTTAAAATTGAATACAATTTATTATAAACAAAACAAAAATTATCGCGCAATCATATTCAATTTCTCTTTTCCAATAGCATGAATAATCATTCGAATAAATGTTGTCATTTTTTTAGGTTTTAATATAGAATCTAATGTTAAATTATATAAATATATTTTTCCAACATAAGAATTCCACAGATGACATGCATAGTTGTTTTTAAAATTATATAGATTATATACATATAAATCTTCAATATGGGACCATGATGGTTTAAAAAATGCTCGTGAAGGTAAAATATAAACTTCATTTTTATATATATTTGCTAACTGTCCTGTTAATAATACTGAATGACAACCCCAACAAGATGAATTAAAACTTTGATACGATTGATAAAGACGTCGAAGAAATTTTGAATGCACTGGTGCTATAATAACAGCATTACATATGGCCTTGAATTTCTGATTTTCCCAAGCAAATATAGCTTCAACGTGATATGGATTAGAAGTTAATTTTGAAAATGATTTTAGAATAAGAACATCTAAATCAAGATAGATGCCACCGTATTTATCAAGAATTTTTAAACGTGCAATATCAGTACGATGAGCATGATGATATAATGGATAATTATAGATTGATGTTATTTCAGGAATATGATTAAGTGTTAAATTTAATTCACGATCTTGTTTAGCTTTTAACCACCAATAACCAGTTGGTTCGAAAGAATAATGAACATATAATTGATCGGGTTGAATATTTTTACGAGCAGAAAGTAGAACGAGATAATTTATTAGTTGAAATTCAGAAGGAGCTCGTTCCATTCGACGAAAAGCAAGACGTGGACCATATCGATCAAGAATTGCATCTGATGAATCACCTTGTCCCGTAATAAAATGCACAATATTTGGTATATTATATGTTCCAACCGATTCATCCTTCGTTAATATTCGTTGACAATTTTTACAATTATTTTTACAGCGAAAAATAATCCAGCAAAACGAAAAAATGATGACAAATAAACACGCATAACGATTAATATATCGATAACGCATATATTTACTGAACATCAACGTCCGACTGCATTGCATCTGTCGACCTCACATACCTTTTGTTTGTCTTTCTTTTTGACCTCATTTTTTACTGATTCTGTTCTTTTTCACTCTCTCTCCTTCGCTTTCTTTCTTTCATTTTCTCTCTCGTTTTTTTTTTATTTTTACTTACGCCATAACAGAAATATTCTCTGATCTTTTACGATCAAGTTCTGAAGCTCTTTCTTCCATTTCATTAAGCCGTTTTCTTAATTCAGTTTCTCTTTCAATATCATTTTCATCTTTGGCTATTTCCTAAAAACAAAAGAAACGCAAGTTTATTTTTTCTTATAAATAAAAATATATCATTTAATATACTATTTCTTTTAATAATTCATTTTTTGTTACAGCATAATTTATTGGTGCTTTACGAAATCGTTTTTTTTCTTGTACTATATGTGTTATATCCTTATTATTATAAACATAATGTTTACTTTCTTCAATTTCTTTCATTTTCTTTTCAAGATCATCTAATGTTGGCAATGAAATACCCTAAAGACAACAAAAATAAAATAAAATATTCGTTTTATTTTATTGGTTACTTGTTTGATCATTGCTTCTCTCCAACGTTGAAATTCTTCATCAGATATTTCATTATTTGATACATATTCAAGTCGAAATATACGTTCATTATTTCCATGTCTATTTGAGAAAATACTGTACGAAAAAAAAATAGAAGCAAAAGGATAGCTGTTTCATACTTTAAACGAAGACCTTTATTTGTACGTGTTAAACCAAGATTATAAATTTTCCCTGTTTCTACAACATCACAAATTTCACAAACCTAAATCAAATTATTATCATTATTATTATTGTTATTTAAATGAATACCTCATTCCGGATGTTAAAAGCAAAATTCTCATAATGATAATTTCTAAAGCTGCTGAGAGTATCGGTCATAGATTGCTAACACTGCCAGACACTTCGATTTCTCCGGCATAGTACGTTTAATCGAGCTGAAATCTTTTACAGATATTAGACATTATTTGAGATGGTTACTTCTTTTTGTTTTGAAAAATATGGCATCGGCGGTTTTTGGCGAATGAAAGGAGATAGAACAAAAAAATCTCAACTCTATCGGACGTATACTTGGAATCGGTCGGTTGAAATTCTTAACTTAACAAGCGAAAAATTGGGTTACTTAAGCAATCAGTTCTTTCGATAAAACATTCTATTACTTCAGTTCTACGAAGACATATAATGTAAACCTCTTAGAGTTTCTAATAGTAACAACGTCAGCATGATCAGAGGCTTACATTGTACGACGAGAGTGTTAGATTAATATTTTGAGTTGTGATTTTAACAACGACTAGAAATTTGTCAGTTGAAAACTTAAAAATCACCGGTCCCGTTACAAGTATAATCGGACGTATAGCGGTTGGGAAAGTGAAGCAATTTTAGCCTCGACGATCTTTCCTGGGAAGTATTTTTGAATTTCAAGTCTATGGCAACATTTGTTCTAGTCATCGAAATCTATCTACTAGGAAAATTCAGATATTTGTCATGTGCCATTCTTCGGAAACTCCAAAAAAGAAAGGAGTATAAAATATGTTACCCGATAAACTGGTTCACCATTATTTTGACCAATATTAATTCGAACAAATGCACCTTTTGCTACTTTAGCAAAAAATGGTGAATGACACCATCTATTTAAAAAAAAGATTAAAAAAAAATGAATAAGTAAAAATAGAAATGATTTACTTTTCCATACGAAAACGAGATAATATCATAGATCTTAATTGATCTTTTGTTGATATAGGTGTACATTTTTTTCGTTTAGATTCTTGTTCTCGTGCATCGCTTGTACGATCATCAGGTGAACTGAGAAAAAAAATAGATTTGAGTAATTTTAATATCGAAAATAAATTCTATTGTTACCGTGATCGAAGTCGACGATTATGTGAATTACCATGATTATCATCGTCATCATCATCATCATCGTCTGAACTCGATGTTTGATAAACATCATCAACTTTCCATATTTCATCTTTTTTATTTGTTTTTGTGGATTTATCAGGACTATCTTCATCACTTGAGGAAACATCATCAGATTTGATTAGAGATTTTTTGGTTTTTTCATCTAAGAAAAAAAAAATTAGCAATGAAATATATATGTATTTTCATTTAAGTTTTTACAGAATTATTAATCGAGTTAACGTGATCATATTTAGTTTATTAAGAACAATTGTGATTCAAGATTTTCTTCAATATGCAAAGCTTTATAACACTAGGCATTAGCACAGTAAAATCATAGAAAAGAAACCTATGACAATTGGTTTCGAATTTCTTCAGTGTGTTATAAATTTATTTCAACAGCTGATAGTACGATTATCTTAATACTTAATCGGGTAATATAACAGTTTGTAAACTATCAGTTAAAATATTCCGAATAGTCACTTATAAGTTTTCAAAATTTGGAAAAGTTTTCTACTATGATTTTTATTTTTTATTGGTGTTAACTCTTTATTTAATCAATATATTACAGATTCTTCTTACCTTGTTTTTTTTTTCGTCCTTCAACTAATAATTGAAGTGATTTACTATGTTCAGTTTCTTTTTGTTTCGTAGCATTAATTTGTTTTCGTCGATTTGCCGTTGATTGATAATCATCATCATCATCATCTTCAGCGTATATATCATTATCAAATAAATTTGATTTACGTGTAGAATCTTCATTCATTTTTTCATGATCACTTTCATCATCATCATGATCATCTATTTCACCTTCTTCTTCACTTTTAACTCCTGATTCTTCAGCTTTTGATTTAAGTCTTTTATTTATTTCTTCACTAACCACAACAACAACAACAACAAAAGAAAAGAAAAAGAAAATATATAGATTTTTATAGAAATAAAATTTAGAAAATTCTTACCGACGTTTGATTATTTCACGTTGTTCATGTCTTTTTAATAATTCTGCTTCACGTTCACGTTCAGATAAAGTTTTTAACCATGCTCGATCATTAGCATCTCCACGATAATTTTCATCATAACCATCAGCAAAGATTTCTTTATTAAAATGAAATAATTTAAATAATGTCAAAAGAAACTATTTTTCCTACGTTTTGATTGTGATGAATCTGAATCGGAGTCTGAATCACTGTTTCCGCTTGTTGTTCGATGTCGTTTACGTGTATCGGATTTGCTCATTGTCTACAATTAGAATATAAATATGAGAAAACAAAAAACAATCGATGTACCCTTTTGCCCCCTTGCTTTTCTTTCTCAACTTTTCTATTCAGCTAACTGTACCGAAATTCACCAATCAAATTATGCATGAAAGATGCCGCTGAAAAATTAATGCATATCACACATTGATATTCTCTCTTAATATCAATTGATAAAATTAAAAAAGAAAACAATAAATAAGTTCATATTGAAGAATTTTAGTTAATCATCAGTTGTAATTTGTAAGATTTGCTAAAAAATGCTTAGCGCCTATGCATTTGACTTTTGATCTCAACGTTCCAGTACAATCATAGAACAGATGGTTAATAGTATGAAAAGATACTTGACTAATTCAATATATACAAAGGAAAAGAATATTGAAAACGTTTTCGAATATGATTTATCAATCAAGCTTGAAAAGTATATGCTTAAATCAGTGATATTTAATATAGTTAATTGCATATCGTCTCATATTAAGAAAGAAAAGATTCTTCGAGATGAGTATGATTAATTTATCTCTATAGTATATTTCAACAATAAACTTTTTCTATCAGTTTATTAATGAGTAAAATAGAATGTGCTGATGTCACACAGATGCTTCGTTGTTATTCTACACTCATGAAGAAAAAAAACCTTGTCAATTTAGAGTGCAATGATGAAAGGTAAGTAATATGCTTGTGTTTATCAGTATGATTGATCAGATATTTTTCAGGTATATAAAAAAAATACTATAGCAAAAAAGCCATCAAACTTTTCAGTTAAATTAGAGATCCTAAGGGAGTGCTTATAATTCTTTTTTTTTTAATTATCTGTATTCAAATCAGGAATTAGTGAAACATTACATTTAACAAAAACTTTCATTGATAATTCCAAAACCTTTTCATTCAATTTCTTGTTCTTCCACTTTCATAGTTAAACAAATACAGGCATAATCCCAGAAATATAACGACATACATGGCCCAGTATTACTATCGTTTATCTTTGTTTCATATTCGGAGCAAAAGAACGCTCTCTTACTCTTGTGGTACTCGGACGCCGTATACAGCGTCCTTTTTTTCCATCGTAAATAACTGTACTGCTCCATATATGGCCACGGAGATATACAATCGTAATATTGAATCATAAAAGACAGCTGTATACGAAGAAATACTATACGTATATCGTCGTTTACAGATGTGTATGTAGGTGAACTCCCTATTCTTCGAACTGGTTTTGTTATTCAATATGTCGATTAAATGTAGATATTGTTCAACTGCAAAATTTCTCTTCAAATATGAAAAAAAAACCATCACAAATTATTGAAATCCAATGAATAGATTTGTTACAGAAAACAGTCTTGAAAAATTATTAGATTTATCTTTATGTCATGAAGATTTTAACTTGAATTTCTTTTGTTTAAATATGTAAGTCGAATGTTCAACAAATTTCAAAATTTTTTTCTGCATGTCTCGATCGAAGAAAAACATGTGTGAAAAGTTCATACTAATTTTTTTGCGATAAAAGTTTTGGAAATGTGAAATGTATTCTGTGAATTTCTCTACAAATGAAAAATTAAAACCATAAAAAATACATATTCGGAATCAGTACAAAAAACTACGTCGAATTCGTAGAGTTATGTTGGAACAAATAAAACTTTGTTCTTTGATCCATGAGGGATACTCGATCCTTTTTATTTCTGTTCATTTCTGATTGTCGAAGAGGATACAACCAATTATATTGAAATTCTTACTACAGATACAGCACCTGGAATAAGGAGACATGTGCTCGATCTGAGTGAATTTTTCTTTTTGAGATATCTCAGAAGTATTTTTGAGTATTTTTGAACATCTGTTTATTCATGAGAGAAATACGTAAAGGTTCGGAGTCAAAATCGGAATATTAACTTTCTAAACTCTATAAATTCGAATAGGGAAGTCAATAATGAAAACGATTGATTTCACCTTTGGAAGATGCTTTCAAGTATCTATGATAGAAATTGCAATCCACTTGGACAAAATCAGAGAGGGAGGGGTCATCAGCAGTCAGAAGTGAGAAAACCAGTATTTTACATAATGCTAAATGGAAGAAAAGAATTTCAACGTGGTTGCCATAAAAAAAATTTCCTAAAATCAGTAAATCTAAAAAAGTAAACTAGATTGAATCGAACGATATCTCTCATTTCACATGATACTTGAGATTATCATACCTTATGCCTAGTTCGAAATTGAGTGTTTTAAGATCAGATACAGGAAAATACACTTCGAAATATAGTCTATGTAATCGTATAAATAACTTTGTTGCAGACTTCAAACAAAAAAAAACTGAAAAATCAGTTGACCGAGAATTAGCCTGCAAATTATGATGCCATTTGGAACATTGATATCTGAATAAATTAAACTGTTCAACAGAACTTGTGAAAAAAAAAATAATATTTTTTTCGTACATTGTCGTCCGAATCCCTGATCCCATAAAATCAGTAATCCATCTATATCCAACTTCTAAAGGTTCCTAAACTTTACTAGCATCTTCCTCTATCGATTGTCTCAAATCTATGTTAGCGCAAATACTCCTGCAATGCGTAGTAAGTTTCCAAAAAGTCAAGTTTTTTTCCAGATTTGAATGGCAATAATTAATCAGCAACAATAGTATATTCGGAATTAGCGCACTAAACTGTGTCGAATGACATATAACTCAAAACAATTTTTAAAAAAATTCTCAAAAAAAATGAGGACAAGTGTCGCCTGAGGCATATTTAAGAGCAACGAGTTTCGTTTTCGAGGTCATACGTCCACCTGTCCATGCGAAAAAATACACACTATTGCAGTGACATAGTGCTCTTAATTAGACTCAAACGGGAAAAATGATTTTTTATTTTTTTCGAATATATTTAAACAGATTCGAAAAAGATTTCTACACTGACTCTGAATATGTACTTGGTTTTATGGTTTTAATATACTTTTGTGAAGAAAATCACAAAATACTGATCAAATTTCAGCAGTTGACATGCCAGCTAATCTGACACTTTTCTTTTGCATATGGTTTTTGTATTGAAAAGATTAATAAATATTACGTTTAAGATCTGTTTATTGTCATAATTGACAATAAAATATTATCTAATCATTATATAGCTCTACATATATAAAAATAAAGTATTGATAAAAAAATCTGTTACAAAAATTAGCGTCATCTTGTCACGAGACTATCATCAGCGTGACATTGATTAAACCGATTTCTCATCAAAATCGGAAGGCTACTTGAAAAATTTCTTTTCACTCGGCTGTAAAACGTCAATGGAATGTTTCTTTAAATATACCATACATTCGGAAAGAAATAAAGAACATACATTTCCATTATCGCGTTACATCATCTATGTTTGCTATAATTTTCACATAACTCATTGAAACGACTACATATTATAACAGAATTCAGGAGGAACGCAGAGATGCATCGTTCAACGATAGAAGAAACTTTCTAGGTAGTCTAGTTACTAAAAAAAAGTTAACAATACTATGACATAAATGTCATTGCGTTACAGCTAGTCAAAAAAATTTACACATAACCTCTTCAATAAAAAACAAGGCATTCAATATCAATTTATTTCAAATACTTGTCAAATAGTTCATCGTAATTCAATTATCTCAGGCAGTTTACACTGAGTTTACAGAAAGAAAAAACAAGTTGTTTTCATGTACGAGAAATATCACAAATTGCAAAGCAAATAACACTATTCTATTCTTAAGATAAGATTTTATAATTTGATAGTATCATTTTCGCCCATTTTTTCCTTATTATATTCTAATAGTATACGTGATAGAACTCGAAAGCCGCTCATTCAAAGTTCTTGGATCTTTTACTTTAATCACCTATTGTAAAATACATGAAACTTTAATGAATAATCGAATGAAACATGTGTATATTAACCAATGTTCCGAATCTATAATTTTTACAGATACAAACAATGACATACAGAATAACTGCTATGTATACAACTTACATAGATCAATAAACCTACTTCAAAATAGCTGAATATCCAAGTAATATTGCTTTAAATAATACTAAAAAACTAATTATATTATTCTATTTTTTTTATTACTGCTTTCTAAAATATTAATCAATAAATAATGTTTGATGCACATAGTAATTAGATAAGTGTTGACCCATTTTTTGCATTCTTGTTAGAGATGTTCTTGAGTGAACATAGAAAATGTTTTTGCGATTTTCCAACGTGCTCTATTATTAGAAGATAAGCATCTAAAATTATTCTATTTCTTATCTTAAATGCGAAACATTATCGTCAACATAACCTTTTGATAGTGTGTCAATGTTTAATACTATGTTCTAAAACTTTCTATGGATGAAATGATAGCACTTGATAGTTCACAATGTGCGTATTCAGTAATTTCTGATATTGTTATCTCATTGATGTAATTATGATGTTTATTTTGTATCTTTATTTTGAAAAAAATTCAAATTTTTATCGAATCATCATATTCCAAGCAAACAGATAGTCTAGAATAAATAAAAATGAATCAGATTTTCGAATTTATCTCGAATTCGGATTATATTTTGTCGAGTGAACGCTTATTGTTGCTGAGATACTTTTTAGCAGGATTCCATGTTTCTCTCAGGAATATCTAGAAAACTCAGTTTCGAGTTTCGACTTGAAATTTTACATAGCGACACACCTTAATGAGAATAGTTTATTGTAAATATTTCATATCTTTTGATTGTTTCTATACTAATATTATGACTATATCAAAGGTATGTTTTTCACGTCGCTCATACTTAGAACCGGCTAGTTCCAAGTATGATGCCGCTCCTATATACCGGCAAAGTCTGATGTTCTTATTTCAAGGTAGCCACACTCAAAAAGTCTGAAATTTTGATAATAAACGATTCTCATTGAAGTTTACCTATGCAAAGTTTCAAATCGAAACTTGAGACTGAGATTTCCTGATGTTCCTGCTAAAAGTATCTTGACAGTAATAGGCTATTAGCCTGGACTCTTTTCATTCAAACGTAAATGACGCACATCGTTCTGACTCAAATGCATTTTGACACTTTCAAACGTTCCCTCATGAGTTTCAACCTAGAGGAAGTTGGATATGATTACAGGTTTCAAAAGTTGAACATACGTAGAATTCTAAGATGTATATGACACCAGAGCAACTTAGGCTCATGTAGCCAGTTTGTGAGATCTATTTACTAAGTAGCTTTATTTCAAAACCATTTGGTGGGTTTCAACATTCAAATAAATTAATTTTGGTTGAAAATCATCGATAATTTCTCATTAAAAAGAAATCAGGCTTTGGCTTTTGCAGTAAAACTTAGCTATTGTCATTGGCTAAATAATCACCATATTGGAAATCTAACATCAGACGAAGGATTAAACTAGTAAGCTAAGACGATTAAATCTTAATAGAATTTTTTCTCGAGTTTAACACAAGACATTTTTTTCTAAGAAACATGATAATCATTTCTTTTTCTTTCAATCAAATAAATAATTTGTCTGTTTTTTTTTTATTTAATTTATTCGTTTCAATAGAATATCTTTAATATACACACAACACAACAAGTTTTTTTTTTCATTCTTCATTGATATTTGAGCAACAAATAAGACAAATAGAGTGTTCACACTAAACATTTCTATGCTAACAAAAAAAAGTAAAATCATGAAACCTAGTCTATATATATATACACACAAAAACCATAAAATGAATTAGAAAATATTTATGAGAAAATAAGCCAAATGAATAATAAACACATCAAAACAGTATAAACATCAAGTTTCGCTTAATTAATTCTATCCAATTAATATTCACAACACAAAATACAAGAGAAAAAAAATGTATATATGTGTATATTTTCAGAAAAAAACGTACAATCATTTTTTATTGTTTTACAGCTGTGGTTGTTGTACGTTTAACAAACATACGACGATCATGATGTGCCCAAACCGTTCTATAAAATAAGACAAAAATTTTAAAAAAAAAATTTTTTTTCTTATTCTTTTTACCGATAGAGAAGAGCAGCAACAATTGCTCCGACAAGTGGGCCAATCCAATAAACATAATGATAATCCCATTGATTAGCAAATATAGCTGGACCAAGTGAACGAGCTGGATTAAGTGAACCACCAGTATATGCTCCACTATACAATAACAGCAATAAAAAACATTCTTCGTTTTAATCGAAAAATTTCTATTCAACTTACATAGCAAGAATATTAACTACTAAAGTAAATCCAATTAAAAGTGGTGCAAGTCCAGTTTTTGATTTTGTATCAATTGCAACCATAATAATAACAGTAACAAGTATCAATGTAGCAAGAAATTCAATTATGATTCCCTTTAACAAAGCAAAAATCAATTTCCCGTGAAAACGTTTTTACTCTAAATACATACTTGCCAAATTCGTACAGAGTCAGCTGCATAATAAATTGGTGGTGCATTAATAGTTGTTACATTCGATGCAACATATGTTGTCAATAATGTTGCTCCACCTTTACATGTCGCATAAGTTTTTGTTGCAAGTAATAAACGTAAAAGTCCACCAGCAGCAATACCTAAGAAATTATTTCTTAGTAAATCTACTTAAAATTTATATGGCAACTTTTTACCTCCTAAAAGTTGTACAACAAAATAAAGTATTGCCATAATAGGTTGCATTTCACCAGCAATTAAAACACCAATTGTAACAGATGGATTAAAATGAACACCTGATATATGACCAAAACTAGCTGTTAATACCATTAATGCCAAACCAAATGATAATGCATTAGCAATCATCCCACCATTTGAACAGGCACCCCAAATACCAATAAGAACAAATAATGTTGTACCAATCTAATACAAAAAAAAAGAAATTCCAAAATTTCTTTTTTTTATTTTATCTACATACAAGTTCAACTAGTAATGGTCGAACAACTTGAATAAAATTATTATTATCCTCAGGATTAATATTAGCATCGACAGATCTAAATAATGAAATAATCTTGCACGCAAAGAAAAAGGAAAAAAAACTTCTACGTACTTCTTAACAACAGTTGTAGTTTCAACTGGTACAGATACTGTGACAGTTGGATTTGAATGAACGACGTCTTCAGTTGATGATAACATTGGAAGGCGTTCACTATGTTGAACTTCTGCGCTCGACATGTTACTCCTTCTTTTTTTTAAGACAGATGGAACAAGAATGTGAATGTGTGTGTGTGTGTGTGTCCGCTTTGCGGTCGATACTGAACTAGTAAAGAGAAAGAAGGAAACAAATCGACGAATGACTAGAGATATTTTTGGAAAAGAAATGCGAAGAGAAAGAGAAGAAAAAAAAAACGAGCAGACAGAAAAGGATAATTAAGGAACATATCACAAAAAAAAATGGCGAAAGAGAGAAAGAAAAAGAAACAGTAGAGGTGAACTCAGTTGAAACGACACTCCAATCAGGAATTAGTGCGACGGGACTCATTACAACAGGTTTTCTTTTTCTCTTTTTTTTTCCGCAAGCATAAGAGCTTCCGCCTCACTACTTTCATATATTCATACGTTCGGTCAAGATAATGATGGGAAAAAAAAGTGAATGCATAAAGTACAACTTTAAAAGAGAATGGTACGCATGACATGTGGTCACAAATGGTACCTCACTTTCTATTTAAAAAAAAATGTCACATGATGAACTATGATCATTTTTAAGGAAAAATTATGTTGGCAGTTAGCCAACTTGTCAAACAATATGTAAATAGGGCAAGAATTTAGCATAAATAAAACATCTGCGCTATGATTATCATTATGAATCTCAATAAAATGAATACACATTTAAGCCCAGCATCGAATAATCATCTAGTTGATTTTGCTCCAAAGTATTTCTCCTCGTTAAACATATATATATATAGATAGATACATTCGTCTTCTTTACACAAGAAGGGGTCATCACACATACAGACAAATATTGACGTTGAATGTGTTATTGTTGCCTATCGATTACTGTCATGAATAGAATATGACCGATGGCAGTGTAGGCTTTAATTGGCAGAGGAGAAGAAAAATTGATTTTCTCTTTTTTTTTGTTTTGATGATCATCTATGTCTATCAAAACACACTATATGATTGATTAGATGAATAAATAATAAGCTTGTCATACTTTCAATACTATCATCGATTCTGAAACTAATAACTTTAATAATGAGCATGTCACAGTTCTTGTTTTACTAATATGTTTTTTTTTATTATAAATCTAGTCACGTCAAAATAATTTCCTTGAAAATATATTTTTTTTAATAAGTATTATTTCATCAGGCGATGAAAGTAAAAAAAAAGAAATCTCTTTGTTCACTTGTTGATTTGTCATGTCATTTTTATGGACGATCGACAATCAATATAAATTGAACAATTGAATTATTTATAAATAGGATGAAATTAAGAATATAGAAAAAACAACAAGAGATGTGATGATGAAACAAAAACTGCTTGTATCTGTTAAGACAGAACAAAAAATAAGAAGAACAGATGGTATTGATGAAAGACAAAAGAAGATGTGATGATCAAAAAAAAACACTAACTATGATATGATAAATCAGATATCTTATTGTATCCGACATAGTAATATATATGTACAAGAAAAAAAAATGTACAAAAGTATTTCATTACTTACATAATTATGTGATGCTAATCTTTTCTTTTCTTATTATTAGAAATACTTTCTACGATAAAATAAAGACAAATATGACAGTGCAGACATGCACATGTTCATGTTGATTAGATAAAGATAGGAAACAACAAAAAAAAATAAGAGAGACACTTATATGCCATATATCGTTTCAATTACATATCCTATAAACGACATTTACATGGATTCTTATCACGCGCAATCATTGTTCTCGATCTAGTCTTCTATAAAATCAAGGGATAAACGTGTTAATGTGTTAAAAAAAAGAATACATAGAAAATCGATCGTTAGATAAACACATTTTTGTTCAAAAGTATCTGTATGTCTGGCTACTTGTATTGACTGATCTTATTTTCGCCTGCAAGAATCAGACAAGAGGCAGATAATTGCTTGTAAATGTATACATATGTGCAATAAACAATATGGAAATGTTCTATTAAATTTTTCTGTAAGAAACAAAAGAATGCGATCGAATAACCACATGTTGATCCATCAAATTTATATATATCTATATCTTATTTATTAAAGAATAATTGATCAATTCTGTTTTGTTTTTTTTGTATGTCAATAATTGACCAATAAAAACAAACAGTAATAAAGAAATGAAGGTAAAAGAAAGTTATGCTTGATAAAACACATATAATCAAAACATCAATATCATTTTATATTTACGCATATATGTCATCACCATATATGTGACTGAAGTGTTTTTAGTCGAGATTATCCTTCTTTGCTACTTATTTCAAACGGTAGTTGCTAGTATAGGCTACAGTTATGAGACAAAAATATATATGTACACAAGCTTCACCTAATGGAACATTTTGTTGGGCATATAAATATCGATCAGATCAAATTACGAAATGTTTTTCAAGTTTCTCAACTGTATAAATAAAATTAATACAAGAACGTAAATCAATGAATAATCTTAAAATAGGTGATCAAATACTTGCTGACATTAATAATCATAATCATCGTATATATGAACCTATCTATTCATTTATTCATGCAAGTCCTAATGGATTATATGATTATTTAAAAATTTCAGTAGAAAATATTTCTGAATAATCATTGATCATTTCAAGTAATCATCTTATCTATTGTTTTAATGAAAAAAATTCTATTTTTGCTGGACGTTTAAAAATTGGTGATCAATTACAAGTCATATCTAAAGATGAATATAAAAGAGCTAGATCTATTATAAATAGTCAATTAATTAAAAGTCAAGACTTTTATGGTCCATTAACACAAAATAGAAAATTAGTTGTAGATGGAATCATTGTGTCAAATTATGCAACAGTTGCTAATCACTACTTGGCTCATTTATCAATGCAACCGTATCGATGGTAGATTCAGTGGATAGGATCATCATAATATTGTGAATCTATCCAATGGTATTGTCAATGGTTATATCAAATTGTTGAACAAATAAACAAATGGATTTTCTGAATAGGATTATGTGATGGATGTTTTACATTATCAAATTTTTGATATAATTCAATCGCTATATTCAATTTCCAAAAGTAAAATGAAACAATTCAATTTATTTTTTTTTCAGACAAATAAATAAATCGAAATTTTTTTTATATGTCCACTCATGTCAAGTGCAGTGCTGACAGTTCAACGTAATAATGATTTTGTTCCCTATCTGTTAAATATACGACTACAACACTCATTGCTTGTAATCTACAGCAGACCACATGCATCTATTGTAGATTAAATATTGTTAGTAATAGATTCACTTTTCATTAGCAACATGTGTCTACATATCTAGTTATCTGTTGCACTATTATGCATAATAGTGTATACATATAAGATTAGTGTTAGTAGCAGTAGTCATGTCTAGTAATATATCATTAACACAGTACAAAGTATTTAGTGCTGCTAATGCACTGAATGAAGATGTCAATATGTACGATGTTCATGATGTGATATTCCATTTTATATGTATATGATAACAGGAAGAACAATCTGTATGAATCATCTGAATAAATATTGGAAAACAAACATTGTGATATTGCAGTAATACTGTTCATGAATATTATTATCGAGATAGTTGGTTGTAAGTTCGGTTTTTATGGAAACTTTAGCATGTGAAAAATAATCAGTTAGGAAAATGTTTTTGTTTGTTTTTTTAATAGTAACGGGATGAGGTATTTTACTTTATTATGTAAAACAGAGAGTAACAAAGAAATAATAGTTTTTCGACTTTTATCAAATTTTTTATTTTGTTGTCATTGAATTAATAATCATAGTCTATTCAATAGCTGTTTTTGTATTGAGTATTTCAAGTCGGCACTGATAACCTACTGTACATTTTCATTGTTTCAAAGATAAAACTCTAACGCCAAGTCAGATCATCAGATGTTCAAGTTCGACAGGAGTTTCATTTTATTTGACATTGAAAATGGAACTGAACTCAATATCGGTGATGATGAAAGTGCAAATGAAGCGTTCACGTTTACAATGTATCACAATAAAAACACCTTTCCGTGCTATGATTTCTGTTCAACATTTTCTTCAGTCTTATCCTGTACATTCGGTATATTCTTTTTCTGTGTTTTCTGTTAATTTGATAAAAATCCAGTTCATGTCACCATTTATTCAATCAACATTAGTAACACGAGTTTTGTTTACTATACTAATGGATCTATCATGACACAATACAAATAGAATTGAATAAATTATTAAAATATATCTTTGCTTTTCAATTAAGATATATCTGAAGAACAAGTCAAATACATTTGAGAGCGATAAAAAGTACTCCTATATGAGTTATTATGTATTACAAAAAATAAGAATATACGATGAACGTCGTCTTTAAATAATGACTATCATGAATTTTAACAATGAACTCATTTGTATCACTATCCACAAACTGTTACAGAAAAATGAAAATGTCTTCTCATAAGGGAACAGTGTAATATATTATATCAGTATATATAGTTAATTGCTTTTTGAACTTCTTATGATGACTCTTGGTTATTCATTGTTGAAGAACATTGCAATAGCTTCATTTTCTTGCAACTCAGCATATTCAAATAGTACAACTGGATGAAATATGTTTAAAATCTTGAAATCTACTGGTTTTCAGATTGTTTCAATTTAAATAAAGACGTAAAACTGTTATTCTCCTTGTCTCGGAACAGCAACATTAAAAAGTCTGCTTCAGAGTTCACTTTTCATATAAGCTAGTTATTTATACATTCAACTGATTATCTATCAAAATCTTATCAAACAAATTGATTACAATCGATGTATTGTCTGATTGCTGTTATCAACGTGATAGCATTTTAGTTTCACTCGGCTGCAAAATGTAGTACGAAGCTTCCAATGTCGATCGATGGATAAATTGATATTTTCTAAAAAGATGAACCCTCGATTGGACGATTGAATATGAAACGCTTTTCTCCAAAAAAAAACAACCATGCTATACTGAACTTAAGACTTCCTTTTTGTCGCTGTAAGTCGGAACAATTACGTTTCGATCAATTAGATG